CGCTACGTCGAGACCGCGGCGTTGCCGCTATCACGCATATGGAGGATAAGTTAGTCAACAACAGCAGTTTGAAGGAGAATTATTATAAATTATGTATCTTACAAGTACCTAATCGATTTCTACGAGCTGTCATACGCTTCCTTAGATATCGGTTTCCTATTTATACAAGTTGCTGTAAAAACTGTTTGTCAATTGCTACGCATTCTAAGCGGAAATACCAAAAAAATCTGCATTCTCATAAGGCTCTGTACTAAATCGTGAAAAATTATTATATTAATATTTCGTCTCTTAGGTATCCAAATATAGTCATAATTTTTTTTGAGGATTTTCTTCGTATTAATAAACTTATATTAATTTTTTTATAAATATGTGTTCGTCAATTCCAATTCAGATAAACTTCCTGAAAGTAAGAGATTAAAATTAATCTAATGAAAGTATTTAAAAAAGTATTTACAGAAATTTTGAATTCATAAGACTACTAAATACTTTAAATTTAAGTACTTTTCACATAAACAATGATTTAGACATATTTATAGATTATAGCACATTTGACGTACGGGACCCGCTAAGGTCCATCACTGAAGTTGCATTCTCAGTTACTACACATTAAATGAAATATATTTTTTATAATATAGATACATATGGTTCATCTTTTATAAGATATGTAGTACAAGTACGATTAATTGTGTAAATCCATTAAGGATTTAGTAATTTAGCTACAAATTTTAACGAAACAAAATAAAACAGTTTGCTCTTATTCTTATGGATGAAATTGTGAAATTATATACAAAAAATATAGATTCAATAGAAAATAATGTGCTTCTCTCAATATACTCATTGCATCAAATCTATGAAGTCCAGAGGTAAATAGCAACACTGAAAATTTATCCTCATAAATCGATATATGCACTTGCAAATAATATTTTATAAGTAGCACACAACTGTTCATGAAAAATTCAAACAGAAATTAAAAAAGTTTCTCTAAAAAAAAAAATTACTAAAAATTTACATTAGCGGTCCCACGTGCTCCGCCCGTAACATTAAGATAATAAATAATTTATTTTAATTAAGGTGGATGGGATACCTGGCGGGCCCAGCGGAGGTCAAAAACCGAAACTGTTTTCATATAACGTTGTCTTCGAACCAGCTGCAACTCAGGAAGACGTCCTTCAGTTCTCCGGAATGAAGAGACTCATTGAAATGTCTGTGGAAGGCTTCAGATGTACCTGTTTCTGTTATGGTCAAACGGGAAGTGGAAAAACGCATACGCTTACTGGTCCACCGGGTCTCGTAAGTGCCAACTGTTTTTAAATACCTACATACTTAGTAGACTAGACTCTAGAGTAGATATATTTAGCGACTTTTTCGTTTCATGTAGTGTCTTTTACTTGTAACTTTAGAAAACCAATTATTTCTAGTAAAGTTTATACCAACTGACAAAAAAAAACATCAATACATCGATCCTATTAGATGTGAGGAAATCTGAGAAATGTATTTTCATGTCATAGTTTAAAAACTCGTTGAAATAACATCTATTCATTTTCCAAGGTATTGTTGATTTAAAAAAAATTCCTGACTTCCCACAGACTTATCAACAATCTGAAAAAAACGAGAAATTCTGAACTTTCAAATTTGTCTCCAAGTTAACTTTTGTTTCTGAAATGACAATCAATTTTGTTTACCGCCGATTCGAGTTCTCAAATTGACACAAAATTGACAGAATTTGTGACGGTGGTTTTATAGTACCTATAACATATTACGTAATAAGTGTTGTAAAAAGCATTTTACGCACGAATGGAAAAGTTACGCAGGACGCCGCGTAGCGGCGAGTGCGTAATTCTATGAGTGCGTAATTGCATTACACCACGTATTACGTACTATACTTTACCTACGGCCACTACTGTAAATACTTAAAAACACACCGTCTGCGATCAATGTAAGATTCCCATTTTACGTACGGTAAAAAAATCGCACAGCTTGGTAAAAAAATCGTACAGTTCTCCTAGCAACCGCCTAGCAACGGTCAATACAATACTGTTTGTATTCAATACAACCAGTATTCGTTCAATACAAACAGTATTGTATTTACCGTTGCTAGGCGGTTGCTAGGAAAACTGTGCGATTTTTTTACCCTACGTAATAGGAATCTTACATTGATCGCAGACGGTGTGTTTTTAAGTATTTACAGTAGTGGTCGTCACGTGTCATGTAATCATTTATGAAAGCTCTGTTTCTGATGAATGTTGCTTTAACCAACGATCTCCTTAACTGGTGCGCATTAATTTAACTCTGAATCATTATTAATAACACAGATATTAACATAAATACAAATATAAATACATTGTTTATAAAAGGCAGGACTAAACAGGATAATTCAAGAAGATATTCTTTAATTTAGCTGGCGCACCCTATAGAATGGTTCATATTTCGCGGACAATTCCTGTATATGCTAAAAACTGAAATTTCAATAAAAATGTATACATGAATAAAAAACAGTTAAAATCAGATAGCTGTTCACGAGAAAATCAACTTTAAAATTGCTGCATTAATTTTGCTTTGAAATTTATTTGAAAACCAGTCAATTCGATAAACAAGAAAAATAATTTTGAAATTTAAACATGCACTAGAAAAGTACAAGACTCAGTTCGAATGCAAACGGTGAAAAAGACCTTTTACTTTGCTTATTGCAGTATTTTTATGAAAAATGTATTATTTCATTTTTATGTACTGAGCTATTGTTATAAATGCGGTACCATTTCTTACTATTACATATCAATCAAGGATCAATTAGAGGTTAAGATGATATTGAATTTTGTATAAAGTCTTTTCAGAAAGCGTAAAACCAAATTTACGATGTTTGAAATGGGACTCCATATTTCAAGAAAACATTGTCAGGTTTACAATGCACTTGAGTGGATCTATTTCTAAGGTGAGAAATCAGATACTGCATAATACAGGGTGTCCCGCATAAGAACCGACACAGGGCAGGTGCATGTAGGGGTGTCCAAAATATTGTAATTTAACCAAACTTACCTATATACAAAGTTGCACCCCTGAAGAGTTATTAGCCCCCAAATTGAGGCCCTAAATTTCGAGAAAAATTAATATCTCTGCAACACTTTACCGCAGAAGAACCAAATTTGGTACATGATTTAGGTTTATTACTGGTCTTCTTTGACTATGATTTAAAGTTAATTGAAGCACTACAAGGTGTTCATTGGGGATGACTTACCACTAAAATTGTACTGAACTTTTTTTTCATTGACCGAATTTAAAAGTTTTGTTTTTTTAATTTTGACTGTTTTTAACATCCTGTATAATGAGTTATTATTACTTTTCTTACAATATCAGCAGTGAAATATTTTTCCTATCATTTCTGGTATTAAAAAACATGATTTCATTTGACGGAGTTTTAAGGACATTTTTTTTTAATTCATGTGATTTAGCTAAATATCTCATTTAAAGGTAAAGAATAAATGTATACAATATCATTACTTTCTACATTTGTTTTTTAGCCATGACCATTCATTTTGAAGTAATAATTTTTTTTACTTTTTGGGATACGTATGCCAAACTTTACATTGCTGGAAAACACAGAATATCTACTCTCTTTTTAACTAGATCATGGCCAACTATAGCTTTCGTAAAAAAATATAACTGATTTGTAAGTCAAAAACTGTTACAGTTATTAAAAAATTCCAGTACAGGATTACCCAAAGTCTCTATCTCATTTCTATGGTGGGTTTTTATGTTTTTTTTATCAAAATTTGGATCTTTCTATCTTTAATAATAATCAAGATGCCCTAACATGACATAGAAAATATAATGCACTGTACGACGTCTCAAAAACACCATATTGATTGATTTTTGCACACAAGTGCACTTGCTCGGAATATTACTCGAGGTGGGTTGGTAGCACTGGTGGCAGTAAGTAAACCTTGAAAGTGTTTATAGCCGTAAACGCAAATTTGCTTATTTGGGTCAAATCGTATTTATCTAACAGATTAAAATGTGTTAATTGCAGTTCTGGTTATCTTGCAGTTTAGAAATTACGTTTAGATTAATCCTAAAATCTCATTTCTCAGGGGTTGTAAGAGGGTTACACGAGGGGTGCAATGCTTCAACACAAGTAAAATAATAAGGACTAGTTTTAATACTATGTAATTAATTTTGGNATAAATTTGGTTTGCCACATCCTGTATAAAATTCAGTAGTAGCTGTTACTAAAAGCTTCTAGTTGATAGCTACAACTTCCGTAACATTGATTCATACTGACCGAAATGAGGGGAACACAAGATAATTTAAAAAAATAAAGGTTGATACGTTACAATTTTCACATTTTATATGGACTGTACTGTACAATGCCTTCATAAATAACTACAAGCCACGTGACTGCTGAACTTAGGCAACCCAACATTGCACGATTGGTACTGTCAACTAAAAATCCCTAAATCTTAGCGACATCAATATTAATGATTCGTTTACAATGAACAATGACAAACCGTTAGGTCTACGCTCGAGGTAATGAGATCGCTCTTCAAAAATTACACCAATCACAGCAGGTGAATAAGAATGTTGTGTTTCAATGTAATTTTGATGTTATTGTTTTAATAATTTTTAATTTTACCAAAATTTAATTGCCAATGTGAAGGAAATAAAGTTACTGTTACAAACAGAATTACTGGCCACGTAGCTTATAATAATTTTTAAGGGCTCTGTGTATCTGCGCCCTTATTAAAATATACAAAATAAATGTAACTTGTTTTTCAGTTTGGATTAAAAACAGCTCCATATAGCGATAGACATGGTTTAATTTTACGTTCCTTTATGTATTTATTTAAACTAATTCAAGAGAAACCTGGGATCCAATTTATTCTAAAAGCCAGCTTTTTAGAAATTTACAACGAAAAGGTAAGTACATATTTCCTTTATTTTGGACATGGTATCGATTTCAAATCTAACCTAGATGTCAGATTAATTAAAAGCTTCACTTCATACGTGTAATAAAATTGAAGGTTCTAATTTGTTTTTTGTTTTCTACTTTTGAACTTAATGTCATTTTACAACTAATTGGAAATAATCTACTAGAATTAATTTGAACATTTATTTTCACACGTTATTCAAAAGCTAATTAAGAATGAACTAGGTATAATTCGCAGGTATTTCCTTAGATAACAATAAACCTATTTAAGTATGTAAGTCTTGAAAAATATTTAAGATAGCTACAAAATTGTTAAAAAGATTAAATTTAATTAGATTAGAATGCCCCAAAAAACTCGAAACTATTTTTTCCTTAAACTAGTAACTAAAGAGTAGTGTAAAAAAAGTAAAATAGCGAAAAATCTACCTATTTCGAAAAATGAAATAAAAAGAATTTGGGAAACGAAAATTTATTGCAGAAACTGATATGATCTAAGGAAGCTTTGAAACTTTTAAACTGTAACACTACTATGTGCTTGCATTGAGTTGAGAATCAAAAATTGTTTAATAGCTCACATACACTTTCAGTGACCCGTAAATGCTAGAACACTTCTATTGTGGTATACAGGGTGTCCGCGTTTTTTGTAGCAGGACTTTCACAACTTGTACTAAAAGTCCTTTAAAAATAAAAAGTTCATGTAAACATATATGTATAGATGCGTCGTTTTCGATTTACAGAGTGTTCAAGTTTAAAACGATAATTGATTTTTTTTCGTAAAACGAAAACCCCTTTTTAGACTGTTGAAACTTGGCAACTTTGTTTGTAATAATAATACTCATTTTCTCGCATAATTTAATTTGTCCTATTGTAAAAATATGGTACGCCACTGCTTTTTGGTAAGTTTGAAAATTTTCTCAGATTTTCCTATCAAAAATACAACTTTCTTTGTTATCTAATTTTGTTCCTATCTCGCATTGTTTAGCCAGAAATAAAACATTTTCATGAATAGGACAAATTAAATTATGCGAGAAAATGAGTATTATTATTAAACAAAGTTGCCAAGTTTCAATAAAGTCTAAAAAGGGGTTTTCGTTTTACGAATAAAAAATCAATTCTCATTTAAAACTTGAACACTGTAAATCGAAAACGTCGCATCTGTACACATATATGTTTACATGAACTTTTTATTTTTATGGACTTTTAGTACAAGTTGTGAAGTCCTGCTACAAAAAACGCGGACACCCTGTATTTGCTTTGTCATTGAAATTAGTCGGTCGATAGCCGCACAGTTTAAGGCGTCAGTCCTTTAATCGTGTGCAAATTTCTGCCCGGGTTCGATTCCCGCGGCCGGTAGACCGTAGATTAGCTATGCTTGTACGGAGGATTGGCACCCCCTGTTCAGGTGTGGTAGGGTGGAAGAATGTTGGCTTGGGTCAATGTGAGATATTGACACCGGTTGGCATTTGACCACCCCCCTAATTAATGAGGTTTTCCAGGTTTCCCTCATTCATGCACTGAATGGTGGTTAGGGCCTACCAACATAAGTCGTTCCTGGGCGCAAATGCGGTCTGCCTAATAATAATATGCCGCCTCCTCTCCCGCACAAGTCTCCGACTTATGGGCTAATTCTCGTAATTAGAATGAGGAGTAGAGATAGTATTATTATTATTATCATTAAAATCCTGTACGTGCACTAGTAGCGTTTAACTATTTAATAGGATGTTAATCTTTCATTTTAGGTGATAGATTTATTAAATCCGGGGTCAGCCCGGAAACCTCTAGCAGTGAGGTGGAGTAAAAAGGCAAGGGGATTTTTTGTAGAAAATTTGTTCACTGTCGACTGCGAAGAATTAGACGATTTAATGGCCGTTTTGGAGGAGGGTATGAGAAACAGATCAGTAGGCAGGCACAATATGAACGATTATTCTAGGTGGGTATATTATATAGCGGATACATACCTTTTTGTAACTGCTTGTCTGGATGAAAATCTAAAGAAATCATTATAATTAACTGTATCTATGTATTAGCTTAATATGTTTAAAGAATATGAGAAATTAATTAAATTTTCTGTTACTTTCAGTCGCAGTCATACTATTCTCTCCGTTCATATAACCTCTGAAGAACCAGCAGAAGGTGGGGTATTCATTTCAAGGACTGGAAAGTTGAATTTTGTTGACCTAGCTGGTAGCGAAATGACGAAAAAGACTCAAAGTGAAGGAAAGACTTTAGAAGAAGCAAATAATATAAATAAAAGTCTTATGGTACTGGGTAAGTTGCCTTGCTTATACAGTGTTACCAACCTAGAGAATTTAAATCAGCATCCCTTAAATAGCTGTTAGGGTTTTACTGGATGGAGTTGTGTTGGATTTTTAACATAAATAGGTCCAGCTATAAATTGTGTCCAACTTTAGGCAGTATTACATTTTCATATTCTGAAATAATATTGCATGAAAGTCTCACTCAACATGAAGCTGCTAGTAGTATTTTTGCAACAACTGTGTTAATTTTTATGACAATTTCTTTTTCCTGATAAACATTATTGTGACCTACTTTGGAAAAATTAATACTGATATAACTTTTTTACAAAATAATGCTCCTTAAAAGAATGAAACAAATATTTTACGTTCTTGTTATTCTAACAAAAATTTCGTTGTTTGGACAGAAACTTTATTTATTTTTTTAAATTAACCCCTTTTTAGAATAATCAATAAAATATATCAACAACCTTCCAATCCGGGCCAACTCAAAATATTCATTAAAATTAATGAATTTAGATTGACTTTCTATACCTACATAATATATGAGAAACCTTCACACAATCCTACATCGACACGATTATAGGAACGCAGACAATAGTTGATCCTTTATCCAACATATTGGTGCTATCAGTTACAAATTGTAAAGTGAGAAGTTGTACATTTGTGTTAAAATGGTGTAGTTTGAATTAAAAAGATTACCTAATAATTCCAATCGATTAACTCATGAATGAAAATCTAAATAACAACAAACTAAGGTATTTCGATCCCATATTTATAGGTTTTTAGTTCATTTTATGAAAGAAAGAAAATGTCCCTGTAATAGTTGATGCCATCACGCCAAAATATTCTATTATTTTTGACAAGTTTTTTTTGGCCTGTATTTATTCTTGACTCCCTTTCAAAGGGGGAGGGTCAACAATAAGACCGGTTCTCGGCCTCCTTCATTTTTGACCAAAAAAGGAAGAATCTTTTTTTTATTATTTATATCCAATAACTAGTAGATTCCACCCCAAACGGTACCTCTTCCCTTCTTCCCAGTCAGGATCAAGGTCAATTAGGAGTCAGATTGAGAAAAAGTGCATTAAATCAAAGGATCTCGGAGTTTAGGATTTTTGAGTCGCAGAATCGGGATCGGAGGTTAGTTTGACTGTATTAGGCCATTTCTAGGTTGTTTTAAGGTCATTTCAAGGTCAAATTGAGAAAAAACCGAGCAATCAAGTCTGACCACATGTTATACATGATTTTGGAGTGGCTGAGTTCGAATCCGAGGTCAATTTGTCGATATCAAGTTATTTGAAAGTCATCTCAAGTTCATTTCAAGGTCAAATTGAGAAAAGTAAAGCAATTAAGTCTAACCGCTTGTTATATCTGGATATAAAAAGAAAAGATTTCATATTGACTAGTGCTTTCAAAAATTAGAAACAGATTAAAGACATAAAAATAGTTTTTCTCTCCAGTTACATATTATAATAATGCTACGTAAAAGAAAATGAAGAGTCGTTTACTGTCCGTAGTCAAATCCATTCTCATAATACTAGAAACAAAAATGACATAAACTTAAACTTTCATCGCTTAAGTAAAACACGTAATAGCACATCATATCTGGGCATCCAGTTTTTTAATGCATTACCAGCTCCAGTACGTCAACTCAACCCTACTTTATTTAAAAAAAAAATAAAACACTATTAACCAACGCATTTTATACTACGCAAGAATTTTTAAAAAGTGATCTCACCCTAATATGACTATCTTAGACGTAGGCTTCGCACACTTCAGTTACATTGTTTCAGTTTTTTTCTTATTGCATTATTCATAATTTTATTTTAACATGTATCATTTACTGTTTGTTTGTTTTGTTGTCCTCTTACAAACATTTTATTTTAACATTTGACAACCATTTATTGCTTGTACTAGTATTGTTTTATTACCATTTTCTTTGTTTTTTAAATTATGAACTAGTTACGTGTCAACATTGTTATACGCGTGTGTGTACTGTGTTGTATATGTATTTTACTATATTTTTTTTTCATAATGATTTTTTATATTACTACTATAATAATTTTTTTTTGACTTTTGTAAACACTTTTTGTGTACTAATAAATATCTATCTATCTATCTATCTTCTAAGTAAATAAGCTAAAATAAAATAAGTTTACTATTTTTTAGTACTTCAATAAAATAAAAATTTATTTACTGTGTTTTTAAGTTTACAATATAGAGAAATAGCCCAAAACGGAGTCAACTATATACCTAAAAAAATCATCAAATAAAGGTCAAAATATGCAATTATTATATGTCTGTTATTTTTATGAAATTGAAAATATTTATCATTTTGAAATTTCAATTACTGGAGACTCTTGTGCAAGAATGGTAGAAATCCATTTTTTTTAATTATATTAGAGATTTACTTCTTTATTTTTAAGGTATGTTGTAATTAAAATTGATTGATTAAAATTGGCGTCTTTAATGGTATTTTAGTCAACTAATTTAAATAATCTTCAACCCCTGAATTCACTATATGGAGCAGAAAAATAACTCATGAGTAAAAATCATTAGTGGTTTAAGTTTAAGTAGTTTAAAGTAGTTTAAAATGATTAAATAGTTGCGAGATAAAATGTATTACCTATGAATTCTATTATATTACACTGACATATTGCTGAGGCGACATTGTCTTCATGCGCAATTTAGGAACATATTAAAACAGAAATTCTGATGCATTTATCTTCAAACTATTAAAAAATTCTTTATTGCAGGGTACTGTATATCTTCTTTAAGTGATTCGAAAAAGAAACCTTCTCACATTCCTTACAGAGACTCAAAATTAACAAAACTTCTAGCCGACTCTTTAGCTGGAAATGGGGTAACATTAATGGTAGGTAATTATTTTAATATTGAATTATAGCAACCAATTATACCTCGTAGAATTTTCGCCTATAATCTAGTGATGACGCTCTTAATTGTTTAATACTTCTATTAATTAACAAAGTTGTATTTTTTTAAAACTGAAATCATAGACGGCAAAGATAGATTCGTCTAAAAAGAAAGTATCCTGTGCTTTCCAAAAATATATAATTTGTCATATTTATCTCAAAAGGTAAAATAGATAAAATTTTTTAATTTTACACTTTTCTATAGATAAATAAAAAACGTAAAAATTTAAATAAATGATATCAAAATGATTATACTAAAAATACAACAAACATCTTTGAAAATTTTTTGTTTACCTAAGTCTTTAGGGAAAATTTGAGCAATGTTTAAATAAAATTATATTTTGAGCTTAGAATATGTGTAGATAATGTTTTATTTGGTGTCTGGTGACGTGTTCCATACCATTCTAGTTATCACACCAACTATGAATTTGTTTTTATTCATACTAACTATACAGGGTGTCCCGGAAATGGTGGGCAATCTCTCGGATATGGATAGATAATAAGAAAATAATGTCACAAGTTCATATAAAATTTTTTCCTCCGGGCTCACCCTGTAGAGTTATTAGCTCTTGAAGTTGAGAATTAAAAATGGTTTTTTTGCTGTAACTTTTGTATTTTTCAATAAATTTTGAAAATTTTTTGGCTGGATCTATAATTTTTGAAGCTGCTTTGGATGATAATATGAAATCCTCGATAATAATTATGGGGGCCCGGGGGCAAAGCACTCCCCACCAAAATTTCTAGAAAAAAAATTTTTGTTCC